TTTGGTTCAAACGATGGGCGAGTGAGCTACTAGAGCAAGCCACTATAGTGGCGCGTCGTCCAGAGAGATGACATCCGCGAAAGCCGCTATAGTGGCGTGTCGTTCTAAAAGATGACATCCGCGAAAGCCACTATAGTGGCGCGTCGTGCCTAAAAGGTTGAAACCGTACCAACGGGGACCGTCGTTCGTTCGCGCGATAAAAGGTGTCCCCGAGCGCGACGGGACGCGCGCGTTCGGTCCGCGGGCCGTCTCCGGTCCGGGGCAAAGCACAGTTATAATTAGACCGCAGATGTGTTTGTATGGCTCTGACGTGTATATACGTATTCCTTTTCAACGTGTCCAGGCCGTCGTAATAGCTGACCACCCTGCTGCCCTCGGTGCATGCTCCGGGCGCGTAACTAGGCTGCGAGTTTTATGCTCGCGCGACTAGGTGAAACATGACACGACCAGACGATTAAAATTTAATTATCTTCTAGGACGATATCTACTCGGGGCGTGTCGGCGTAAAAAAAAGGAGCAAGCATTTTAATTGTTGGTCGAGCGTTACTGTTTCGCATAACGGAACATAAATCGCGAGGTACGCTGAGAAAAAACTGGGAATTTACAGAGCACTAGGAGCAACTGTTGTGTATTGTAGCTGTTTAACAAAATAACATTGAGACATTTATTATTATTATTATTATTATATATATTTTATTATATATTTTTTATTGTATATATTTTATTATGTATATTTTATTATATATTTTGTATTATATATATTTTATTATGTATATTTTATTACATATATTTTATTATATAATTTTTATTATATATGTTTTATTATGTATATTTCATTATATATATTTTATTATATATATTTTATTATGTATATTTTATTATATATATTATTATATATATTTGCCAAATTAATTTCCATTTACACGAATTTATGGTAAAAAATGCTACAAAAACACGTATCTTCAAAATGTCATCTTACAAATTACCGGTAGCCGATGTTCACAGGGCTGCGCACCCTATTATAGGGCAGCTCTTTGCCTCTGTTCCCGTTTTCAAAACGTTCCGAAAGACAGGTGCGCTATCGCAGCACAGCTGCCTAAACGGAAACTGGTACCTGGTCAGAGAGAAGTCACTTTAATTCACAGACTTAAATCGGACGATCTTTGCAACCTGTTGCTCATTCTAAAGGGTATTCGATCCTCGAGTCCTATATACCGAAGTCAACGATCTCATGAAACCTTTCGTGAGTCGATAGATTTGAGTTAGTGGTGCTTGGGAACCTCTTAGTCTTCGATCTCCAGCCAAAGGTTCTTCAGACCAACGGACTGAAGATAGCGACCTCCTAGAGCCTTTTAAAATCAACTGACTTAAATAGTGGGGCCAAGGAACGTTTAGCTTTCGTCTCAGACATTAACCTAGAAGTTTCCTTGAGACTCGCAGATCGAAGTTCGTGATCGCATTGAAACCTTGAAGACTTTTAGCGAAGAGGTATTTTTAGCTTCAACCTGAAGCTCTACACATTTGGAAACCAAAGTTAGGGTTAAATTTTAATATCATATATAACATTAATAATATATAACATCAGGGTTAACCTTTTAGGCACGACGCGCCACTATAGTGGCTTTCGCGGATGTCATCTTTTAGAACGACACGCCACTATAGCGGCTTTCGCGGATGTCATCTCTCTGGACGACGCGCCACTATAGTGGCTTGCTCTAGTAGCTCACTCGCTCATCGTTTGAACCAAATAATCGTCTTCATATGCATTGTTTCACACTTCTTTTGTCTTCGCATCGATTTACAACAGTCTACAGGGCGTCCCAAAAATGTCTCGCAATCCGGAAATGGCGGGCTCCTCGGATCATTTGAAGCAACTTCTTCCTTTACAAAAATGTTCTCCGAGACACCGTTAACGAGT